TGCCCATAATATTTGAGTAGATTCAACAAATCATCTTTTACAGTGTAGTGTGTCTAGACACACTGCTCCACAGGAGGTCAGGGACTTTCACTCTTTGTCTTGATATTGGCCACTGCACGCAAATCTACACAAACACGATGCTATCTTGAGCACGAGCGCTAGCAGGCACACTAAAATAAAGAAACACACATTCACGGCCCTGGCCATTGGGAAAGAGAACCAGAAGTGAACGAAAATGAGATGCCAAAGAAAAGGAGGACGAAGAGAGAGAAAAATTGTTTGATTACAGCAAAAGATTACAACTGGGACGAGCACAACAAGGTCTTATTCTGAACAAGGTACAATGAGGTACTGAGGGAAGCTGAGTGGTCAAATCATAGAGGACCAAGACGGGTGGTGATTTGAACAAAGAGGTCCATTTAGTCCCTGCCATGTAAGTTATTACTTCAAATTGAATAAAAACAAAAATCTAGAGAATTGGATTTCAATTGTCCACTTTGTGCATGTGCTATTACTGAAGCTGACTGACTCTGTTGGGTACTGGAATCAATACAACAGCCAGTCTCAGAATTATGTCTGTATTGTATTGTTATTGTCCAGCAGCAATCGACTAGGCTGAAGGGAAAGCATATCTATCCAACTATCTTTCTCCCTAATAAGATACAGAACCTGTAATTATCAATGTATAAATAATGACTTAAGTTCTTAGTAACCTAATTCCTACCAGCATGTTAAATGTGCAACCAGAGGAAAAAAAACTCTAGACCACCTTTACTCCACACACAGAGACGCATACAAAGCTCTCCCTCGCCCTCCATTTGGCAAATCTGACCATAACTCTATCCTCCTGATTCCTGCTTATAAGCAAAAACTAAAGCAGGAAGCACCAGTGACTCGGTTAATAAAAAAGTGGTCAGATGACGCTGATGCTAAGCTACAGGACTGTTTTGCTAGCACAGACTGGAACATGTTCCGGGATTCTTCAGACAGCATTGAGGAGTACACCACATCAGTCACTGGCTTCATCAATAAGTGCATCGATGATGTCGTCCCCACAGTGACCGTACGTACATACCCCAACCAGAAGCCATGGATTACAGGAAACATCTGCACTGAGCTAAAGGGTAGAGCTGCCGCTTTCAAGGAACGGGACTCTAACCCGGACGCTTAAAAGAAATCCCGCTATGACCTCTGACGAACCATCAAACAGGCAAAGAGTCAATACAGGACTAAGATTGAATCGTACTACACTGGCTCCGACGCTCGTCGGATGTGGCAGGGCTTGAAAACTATTACAGACTACAAAGGGAAGCACAGCCGCGAGCTGCCCAGTGACACAAGCCTACCAGACGAGCTAAACCACTTCTATGCTCGCTTCGAGGCAAGCAACACTGAAGCATGCATGAGAGCACCAGCTGTTCCGGATGACTATGTGATCACGCTCTCCGTAGCCGATGTGAGTAAGACTTTTAAGCAGGTCAACATTCACAAGGCCGCAGGGCCAGACGGATTACCAGGACGTGTACTCGGAGCATGTGCTGACCAACTGGCAAGTGTCTTCACTGACATTTTCAACATGTCCCTGACTGAGTCTGTAATACCAACACGTTTCAAGCAGACCACCATAGTCCCCGTGCCCAAGGACTCTAAGATAACCTGCCTAAATGACTACCGACCCGTAGCACTGACGTCTGTAGCCATGAAGTGCTTTGAAAGGCTGGTCATGGCTCACATCAACAGCATTATCCCAGAAACCCTAGACCCACTCCAATTTGCATACCGCCCCAACAGATCCACAGATGATGCAATCTCTATTGCACTCCACACTGCCCTTTCCCACCTGGACAAGAGGAACACCTACGTGAGAATGCTATTCATTGACTACAGCTCAGCATTCAACACCATAGTGCCCTCTAAGCTCATCACTAAGCTAAGGATCCTGGGACTAAACACCTCCCTCTGCAACTGGATCCTGGACTTCCTGACGGGCCGCCCCCAGGTGGTAAGGGTAGGTGAAAACACATCTGCCACACTGATCCTCAACACGGGGGCCCCTCAGGGGTGCGTGCTCAGTCCCCTCCTGTACTCTCTGTTCACCCATGACTGCATGGCCAGGCACGACTCCAACACCATCATTAAGTTTGCCGACAACACAACAGTGGTAGGCCTGATCGCCGACAACGATGAGACAGCCTATAGGGAGGAGGTCAGAGACCTGGCCGTGTGGTGCCAGGACAACAACCTCTCCCTCAACGTGACCAAGACAAAGGAGATGATTGTGGACTACAGGAAAAAAAAGAGGACTGAGCACGCCCCCATTCTCATCGACGGGGCTGTAGTGGAACAGGTTGAGAGCTTCAAGTTCCTTGGTGTCCACATCACCAACGAACTATCTTTTTTTTTTTTTTTTTTTTCACACCTTTATTTAACCAGGTAAGCCAGTTGAGAACAGGTTCTCATTTACAACTGCGACCTGGCCAAGACAAAGCAAAGTAGTGCAACAAAAACAACACAGAGTTACATATGGGGTAAAAAAAAAAACATAAAGTCAGAAATACAACAGAAAATATATATACAGTGTGTGCAAATGTAGCAAGTTATGGAGGTAAGGCAATAAATAGGCTATAGTGCAGAATAATTACAATAGTATTAACACTGGAATGCTAGATGTGCAAGAGATTATGTGCAAATAGAGATACTGGGGTGCAAAGGAGCAAATTAAATAACAATATAGGGATGAGGTAGTTGGGTGGGCTAATTTCAGATGGGCTGTGTACAGGTGCAGTGATCGGTAAGGTGCTCTGACAACTGATGCTTAAAGTTATTGAGGGAGATAAGAGTCTCCAGCTTCAGAGATTTTTGCAATTCGTTCCAGTCATTGGCAGCAGAGAACTGGAAGGAATGGCGGCCAAAGGAGGTGTTGGCTTTGGGAATGACCAGTGAGATATACCTGCTGGAGCGCAGACTACGGGTGGGTGCTGCTATGGTGACTAATGAGCTAAGATAAGGCGGGGATTTGCCTAGCAGTGATTTATAGATGGCCTGGAGCCAGTGGGTTTGACGACGAACATGTAGTGAGGACCAGCCAACAAGAGCGTACAGGTCACAGTGGTGGGTAGTGTATGGGGCTTTGGAGACAAAACGGATGGCACTGTGATAGACTACATCCAATTTGCTGAGTAGAGTGTTGGAGGCTATTTTATAAATGACATCGCCGAAGTCAAGGATCGGTAGGATAGTCAGTTTTACGAGGGCATGTTTGGCAGCATGAGTCCAAACACACCAAGACAGTCGTGAAGAGGGCACGACAAAGCCTATTCCCCCTCAGGAGACTGAAAAGATTTGGCATGGGTCCTCAGATCCTCAAAAGATTCTACAGCTGCACCATCGAGAGCATCCTGACTGGTTGCATCACCGCCTGGTATGGCAACTGCTTGGCCTCCGACCGCAAGGCACTACAGAGGGTAGTGCGTACGGCCCAGTAAATCACTGGGGCCAAGCTTCCTGCCATCCAGGACCTCTATGCCAGGCGGTGTCAGAGGAAGGCCCTCAAAATTGTCAAAGACTCCAGCCACCCTAGTCATAGACTGTTCTCTCTGCTACCGCACGGCAAGCGGTACCGGAGTGCCAAGTCTAGGTCCAAAAGACTTCTCAACAGCTTCTACCCCCAAGCCATAAGACTCCTGAACAGCTAATCATGGCTACCTAGACTATTTGCACTGCCCCCCCACCCCATCCTTTTTACGCTGCTGCTACTCTGTTAATTATTTATGCATAGTCACTTTAACTCTACCCACATGTACATATTACCTCAACTACCTCAACTAGCCGGTGCCCCCGCACATTGACTCTGCAACGGTACCCCCCTGTATATATAGCCTCCCTACTGTTACTTTATTTTACTTCTGCTCTTTTTTTTCCTCAACACTTTTTTTGTTGTTGTTTTATTTTTACTTTTTTTTGTTAAAAATAAATGCACTGTTGGTTAAGGTCTGTAAGTAAGCATTTCACTGTAATGTCTGCACCTGTTGTATTCGGCGCATGTGACCAATAACATTTGATTTGATTTGATTTGATTCGATTATCCTCTGAGGCATGATTTAAAACTAGCCGGAAGAAACAAGAAATCCAGATATGACTGACCTGAGAGACGACTGTTTAAATGACGACTCTGCCTTGCAGACAAGAGCCCGTAAAGACAAGAGCCTGTCTAGGGACTGGGGCTGTGAATTAGCACTAACTAAAAGTATCAAGACGCGGTTGGGAGCTGGTCGTGTTTTTGGTCCAGAAACCCCGCTACTTCTCATTAATTGTAAAGTGGCTATGACTAAGCATTCTGACTACCTACTGTTCCCTACCTGGCTGCGCAATCATCCCTAGAACACAACATCTCAGAGTTGGAGTAAAGTGGAGAATTACACAAGCAAAGGAGCAGTGCATTATTTAGTCATTTTAAGGTTGAACCCATGAAAATTGAGGTGAGATTTCCGACTGTTAAAGTGATTGGTAGTAACAAGCAGTGGTGTGGAGTGATTGGTTTGATGACTGGCAATAACAGGAGCAGAACAGGAACAGGAAAAAGGAAAAACTGCTAGCTTCTAGCTCCAGGACAGAGGTCACTACACTGTGGTTCGCATAGGCTATAGTACATCATCTCTGTGTGTGACCTGGCATTAATAGGAGGACTGACTTATAGCCATTTCTGATGACACAGCAGCTTTAAAACATAGAACAAAGGACTCTGTGGGTTTGGTTTAATGAGGCAGGACAAGCGGGTATAAGGTAAAGGTTATGGGGACATTTGAGGACTCACATAGACTCACAATGTTATACTTGATCAGTTATCAATGACTTGATGATTCATTGACCTGATGAATCAGGTGTTTTAGCGCTGGACTGGAACAAAGGGATGCACTTCTGGTCCCCAGAACCAGGAATAAGAAAAGCTGCTCTAATGTGTACTGTGTGGACAGGGTGTATGGGGTAGGGGTTAGGGCGCCTCACCGTGGTAGAGAGGTGCTGAGCTGGAGACGGGGTAATGATGGAATGACCTCCACCATACAGCCACTGGTCCTCACACTGGGTAGACCTTCCAGGAGACAGTCACTGGTCACACCAAACACTGACGTGTGGTAGCCTACAGACAGACACACACAGAGACAGAGAGACAGAGAGAGAGCGAGGGCGAGGTAAAAGTCAGTGCCCTCAAAAACCAAGGACTAACAAGCACTCCAATAACCTTTCTCCATTCTACGAAGGGTACCATTGAGAACATACTTCTAAAGGATTTCTATACAATCATCTTCTGTTCAGAAGAATAAGGGTCTAACTTATTCATCTACGGTAATATAAATTGGAGAAATAGAGCTATGAGTCTTGGTTTGGTTTAGAGTTGGGACTCACGCTGTGGCATCACAAAGGTTTACAAGACAATCGGTCACACTGTCATCCACCCTCCTCTATTAACCACACACACCCTATTAACCCCCACCCCATCCTCTGGAGAAAGATAATCAAGCCACTTGTCTTAACCATTGCGACAACATTACAGGCAATTACTGTCGTGTAAGATTAAGACTAAATGACTATGTAGATCATAGTATTTAAAGCTATACTAATATCCCACGCTACTGAGGTTAACAGAGATGTGATTAACCGGCATGTCGCTTGTCCTCGTTTAACGCGTTTTAAAATGGAGGTCAGAGAATATGGGGACAACGCCCTGTCTGTCTGTTGTTGTCTGTCTGTCGTCTGCCTTTCGCCTGTCGATCGCCACGGCACACATCGCAATGTTTTTACATTTTAGTGGAAAATCTGCACATGATGACCCCAAATTACTGCTAATGTAATCAAAGGAATGGTTATTAACAGGCTATTTTCGTATTTCGTAAAATTACATTTTCAGGGAGGAAGCTATTTCCATTTCAATGACGATCGTTCCTGTGTAAGGAGTGTTCATTTTTATTGATTGTCACACATTGGAAGGGTAAAGTTGTGCTGGACTCACCGTTGACGGTGATGTTGCCTGCGGTGCGTGGGACCCCCACCAGGGTGACGGGGTAGAGCCCAGACTCAGCAGGCAGGGACAGGGCAGCAGGCAGGGCCTCAAACTCCACACCCGACGTCAGCAAACCCTGGACAGGACAGAGGACAACAGATCAGTCAGAGGAATTACGCTTTAAAATCAGGTTACTTTTGGGCATAATTCATAACAAAACTAATAGTGACCGCACTCAAAAGTGCATAAATTATTTATCTTAATGAGATACAATGCAGTTGTACATTAAAATTCATGTTATCAGTGGAGCTTCATTAAAATGACTTGATGCTATGTTATCAAAGAATGTCAAATGATGGGTTATACTTCCAAATGTGGCCCTATTTATTAAACACAAATGGAGACTTTGAGCATGCGGCAACGGTTCAATGAGGACAGCAGGAAATCTAAGTCACTCTGAACTAAAATGATGATATTATTGTAGCGCACAGAAACCTGTCAAAGTCACGTAGTCAAAACTGACTTGATAAAAGTAAACTTTGCTTTTCAACTAAATCAAGTGGATTTCATTAATCAGATTCCACTGTTCTAATGTGACATGAGAGAGAAACCCCATAATTGTCCCAGTGCTGTGGTGGGTGGCAGTTGTTTCCACTGTTCCCTGCAATGTTCCCATCAGAAATGCAGAAGAAGGAAAGGAGAGGAGAAGATGAAGCAACTTTAGAGTACTGAAACCCAGCCACACAGTAGTTTCCAGTGATCCCTGTAATCAATCATCCTAATCTAATCTCGCCCTGATATCCTAAAGCAGTGTTTCCCAACACCTGTCCTCCAGTACCCACACATTACACATTTTCCTTAGCCCTAGACAAGCACACCTGATTCTACTTGTCAACTAATCATCAAGCCACTGACAAGTTGAATGTCTAGGGCTACATCAAAAATGTGTACTGTTGGGGGTACTGGAGGAATGGAGTTGTGAAACACTGTTAAAGGATAGGAGAGGAAAACCCTTTGGATTATTGAAACCCACCCTCCCAGTGAGCTGGTGGGAGGGAGGTTGTCTCAGGCCCCAGTACCACAGTGCTGCGGTGGGATGTAGGGTGGGTGGGAGTAGTTTCCAGTGTCTCCTGTAATCCATCATCCTAATCTAGCCCTGATATCCTGGAGATGAGATCAGCCCCAGCAGGCACCGCCATCTCCCACTGAGAAAATTGCTCTCATTCTCACCATGAGAAAGAGAAGAGGAAACTACAAACACACATATACACACACACACAAAAGGAAACAGTGTAAATGGAAGGCTGTCTGCTCTGCTGGAGGAGAGAGGAAGGGAGATTGGAGTCCTACACAGTCACACACAAGTGGAGTTGGGGAGGTTCAACTCGACTATCTCTGACAGAGGAATATGCTAGTTTAACATCTTTATCAGTTAAACTGTAGTATTCTACCATTGCCAGACCTCAAAGTCTACAATGAGAGAAAGGAAATAAATCAAGGATCTGAATATGCTGACTTGGGTTCTCAACCCAGACAACCGGGTGACTTTGAATATGTGTAATCTGTAATTTATGATGTCCTATATAAAACTAAGCACCTTGGCCAGTGTATATAGAGCCATTGCTTCTACTCTATTTACACAAACTTGTGGTCAAATTCACATCACATCTAGTCTCGGGTCATTAGGCTGGCTCCCCAACATCATGGAGGAGACCATCAATCCCTTTTATCAAATTGCATACGCTACCTCACTGGGGAGGTTGGTGTGTGTGTCTACAGTCACAAAGAGCCTCTGTGGTGGCGTGATAGTGATTTATAAAGTCATTCCTCTTGCTACTTTACCGAGAGAATAAAGATTACACCCCTGTACTGGATAAGAAATATCAAAGTTAACCTATTGGAAATAACTCATTTGCATCCATCCTTGAAAAGGTTAATTAGCCCGGCTCGCTATTGCTAACAATGTGGAGATGGATGATGGATGGATTATTTCCGATAGTTTCATTACCTTCGCCATTACTATGCAGTGATTAATACTGGAATGTGATGACACCAGCAGTATATTGATTCATCAATTGCAGAGTAAAAAAACAAATCTAGTAAATAATATTAACAGACAGACACCAATGAGCCAGGTCTGAGAGGGACAAAGTCCCTTCATAATCATTTACAGTAACCTTTCCTTCAGAATGTTTGTCTAGAGACCCCAATCTAGAGCTAGACAGAGAAGACATTGGCTAGTTTGAGCAGCAGCCTCCCAAATATGGATGATTCATTCTAGTTTCTCATTTTGCACAATAAATGATCTACATCCTTCTTAATTGTTTGAATCTTCCATCCATGAACACTACATTTGAAATGAATTACAGTACTTCACAAGAAATCTAACAATATAGATACACACTATATATACAAAAGTATGTGGACACCCCTTCAAATAAGTGGATTAGGCTATTTCAGCCACACCCATTGCTGACAGGTGTATAAAATCGAGCACACAGTCATGCAATCTCCATAGACAAACATTGGGGGTAGAATGGCCTTACTGAAGAGCTCAGAGACTGTCACGCCCTGGCTCTGGGGACTCTAGTATGTTGAGCCAGGGTGTGAGTTTTCATTTGTTTTTCGTTCTAGTTTTGTAGTTCTATGTTGGCCAGTGTGGTTCTCAATCAGAGGCAACGTGTATCAGCTGTTGCTTGTTGTCTCTGATTGGGAACAAAACTTAAGCAGCCAGTTTTCCCACAGTGTTTGTGGGATCTTGTTCCTGTGTAGGTTTGTGTTTTGCACCTTTGGACATCACGTATCGATTTGTTGTTTTTGTTCGTGTAATCATTATTTAATAAATATGTTCACCTTCCACGCTGCGCCTTGGTCCTCTGTATCCGACGATCGTGACAGAGACTTTCAACAATGCACCGTCATAGGGTGCCACCTTTCCAACAAGTCAGTTCGTCAAATTTTTGCCCTGCTAAAGCTGCCTCGGTCAACTGTAAGTCCTGTTATGGTGAAGTGGAAACGTCTAGGAGCAACAACTGCTCAGCCACGAAGTGGCATGCCATACAAGCTCATAGAACGGGACCACCGAGTGCTGAAGCACCTAAAAATCATTTGTCCTCGGTTGCAACACTCACTACCGAGTTCCAAACTGCCTCTGGAAGCAACGTCAGCACAATAACTGTTTGTATCGAGAACCATGGTTTTCCATGGCCGAGCAGCCACACACAAGCCTAAGATCACCATGGCAATGCCAAGAGTCGGCAGGAGTGGTGTAAAGCTCGCCGCCATTGGACTCTGGAGCAGTGGAAATGCGTTCTCTAGAGTGATGAATCATGCTTCACCATCTGGCAGTCAGACGGACAAATCTGAGTTTGGCGGATGCAAGGAGAACGTTACCTGCCCCAATGCAAAGTGCCAACTATAAAGTTTGGTGGAGGAGGGTCTGTGGCCGTTTTTCATGGTTCGGGCTAGGCCCCTTAGTTCCAGTGAAGGGAAATCTTAATGCTACAGCATACAATGACATTCTAGATGATGATGTGCTTCCAACTTTTTGGCAAGAGTTGAAGTCGGAGGTTTACATACACTTAGGTTGGAGTCATTAAAACTCGTTTTTCAACCACTCCACAATATTCTTGTTAACAAACTGTCGTTTTGGCAAGTCGGTTAGGACATCTACTTTGTGCATGACACAAGTAATTTTTCCAACAATTGTTTACAGACAGATTATTTCACTTATAATTCACTGTATCACAATTCCAGTGGGTCAGAAGTTTACATTCACTAAGTTGACTGTGCCATTAAACAGCTTGGAAAATTTCAGAAAATGACATCATGGCTTTAGAAGCTTCTGATAGGCTAATTGACATCATTTGAGTCAATTGGAGGTGTACCTGTGGTTGTATTTCAAGGCCTACCTTCAAACTCAGTGCCTCTTTGCTTGACATCATGGGAAAATTTAAAAAAATCAGCCAAGACCTCAGAAACAAAATGTAGACCTCCACAAGTCTGGTTTATCCTTGGGAGCAATTTTCAAACGCCTGAAGGTACCATGTTCATCTGTAAAAACAATAGTACGCAAGTATAAACACCATGGGACAACGCAGCCGTCATACCGCTCAGGAAGGAGAGAAGTTCTGTCTCCTAGAGATGAACATACTTTGGTGCGAAAAGTGCAAATAAATCCCAGAACAACAGCAAAGGACCTTGTGAAGATCCTGGAGGAAACAGGTACAAAACTATCTATTTCCACAGTAAAACGAGTCCTATATCGACATAACCTGAAAGGCCGCTCAGAAAGGAAGAAGCCACTGCTCCAAAACCGCCATAAAAAAGCCAGACTACGGTTTGCAACTGCACATGGGGACAAAGATCGTACTTTTTGGAGAAATGTCCTCTGGTCTGATGAAACAAAAATAGAACTGTTTGGCCATAATGACCATCGTTATGTTTGGAGGAAAAAGGGGGAATACTTGCAAGCCCAAGAACACCATCCCAACCGTGAAGCACAGGGGTGGCAGCATCATGCTGTGGGGGTGCTTTGCTGCAGGAGGGACTGGTGCACTTCACAAAATAGATGGCATCATGAGGAAGGAAAATTATGTGGATATATTGAAGTAACATCTCAAGACATCAGTCAGGAAGTTAAAGCTTGGTCGCAGATGGGTCTTCCAAATTGACAAATCTTCCAAAGTTGTGGCAAAATGGCTTAAGGACAACAAAGTCAAGGTATTGGAGTGGCCATCACAAAGCCCTGACCTCAATCCTATAGAACATTTGTGGGCAGAACTGAAAAAGCGTGTGCGAGCAAGGAGGCCTACAAACCTGACTCTGTCAGGAGGAATGGGCCAAAATTCACCCAACTTACTGTGGGAAGCTTGTGGAAGGCTACCCGAAACGTTTGACCCAAGTTAAACAATTTAAAGGCAATGCTACTAAATACTAATTGAGTGCATGTAAACTTCTGACCCACTGGGAATGTGATGAAAGAAATAAAAGCTTAAATAAATCATTCCCTCTACTATTATTCTGACATTTAACATTCTTAAAATAAAGTGGTGATCCTAACTGACCTAAGACAGGGAATTTTTACTAGGATTACATTTCAGGAATTGTGAAAAACTGAGTTTAAATGTATTTGGCTAAGGTATATGTAAACTTCCGACTTCAACTGTACATACACACTACCAGTCAAAAGTTGACACACCTACTCATTCAAGGGTTTTTCTTTATTTTTACAGGTTTTTACATTGTAGAATAATAGTGAAGATATCAAAACTATGAAAAAACACATATACAGTGGGGAGAACAAGTATTTGATACACTGCCGAGGTCTGTAATTTTTATCATAGGTACACTTCAACTGTGAGAGACAGAATCTAAAACAAAAATCCAGAAAATCACATTGTATGATTTTTAAGTAATTAATTTGCATTTAATTGCATGACATAAGTATTTGATACATCAGAAAAGCAGAACTTAATATTTGGTACAGAAACCTTTGTTTGCAATTACAGAGATCATATGTTTCATGTAGGTCTTGACCAGGTTTGCACACACTGCAGCAGGGATTTTAGCCCACTCCTCCATACAGACCTTCTCCAGATCCTTCAGGTTTCGGGGCTGTTGCTGGGCAATATGGATTTTCGGCTCCCTCCAAAGATTTTCTATTGGGTTCAGGTCTGGAGACTGGCTAGGCCACTCCAGGACCTTGAGATGCTTCTTACGGAGCCACTCCTTAGTTGCCCTGGCTGTGTGTTTCGGGTCGTTGTCATGCTGGAAGACCCAGCCACAACCCATCTTCAATGCTCTTACTGAGGGAAGGAGGTTGTTGGCCAAGATATCGCGATACATGGCCCCATCCATCCTCCCCTCAATACGGTGCAGTCCCCTTTGCAGAAAAGCATCCCCAAAGAATGATGTTTCCACCTCCATGCTTCACGGTTGGGATGGTGTTCTTGGGGTTGTACTCATCCTTCTTCTTCCTCCAAACACGGCGAGTGGAGTTTAGACCAAAAAGCTCTATTTTTGTCTCATCAGATCACATGACCTTCTCCCATTCCTCCTCTGGATCATCCAGGTGGTCATTGGCAAACTTCAGACGGGCCTGGACATGCGCTGGCTTGAGCAGGGGGACCTTGCATGCGCTGCAGGATTTTAATCCATGACGGCGTAGTGTGAAACTAATGGTTCTCTTTGAGACTGTGGTCCCAGCTCTCTTCAGGTCATTGACCAGGTCCTGCCGTGTAGTTCTGGGCTGATCCCTCACCTTCCTCATGATCATTGATGCCCCACAAGGTGAGATCTTGCATGGAGCCCCAGACCGAGGGTGATTGACCGTCATCTTGAACTTCTTCCATTTTTTTATAATTGCGCCAACAGTTGTTGCCTTCTCACCAAGCTGCTTGCCTATTGTCCTGTAGCCCATCCCAGCCTTGTGCAGGAGCCGGAATTCTTACTGGTTGGTAGGTGATCAAATATTTATGTCATGCAATAAAATGCAAATTAATTACTTAAAAATCATACAATGTGATTTTCTTGATTTTTGTTTTAGATTCCATCTCTCACAGTTGAAATGTACCTATGATAAAAAATTACAGACCTCTACATGCTTTGTAAGTAGGAAAACCTGCAAATTCGGCAGTGTATCAAATACTTGTTCTCCCCACTGTATAACCAAAAAAGTGTTAAACCAATCAAAATATATTTTATATTTGAGATTCTTCAGATCACTCTTGGCATTCTCTCAACCAACTTCACCTAGAATGCTTTTCTAGCGTGAACGAGAGCTCCCGATAAATCTTTAACAAACTTATCCTAAAACTTGTTAACTTCACCGATACTTATTACTACACTGTAACCAAGAGGGGTGATATGCCTACAAGACAAAAGAAAAGGCAAGGGAAGCCCCGAAACAGACCAAGAAACGACAGAGAAAGAACCTCTGACCATGGCCTACTCGGAAACCCAAGATGGCAACATGACCTCAGGAAGAAGCTAGGCTAGCTCACATCCTCAAAGTGATCAAAGAAGGCAATGACTCCCTCACAACACAATTTAACTTGAAAATGGCTGAGTTCAACTGTTCCATCTCAGCACAGTTGGCTGAAATCAACTCTCTATCTCAGGTTTGACAACGACTATCAACATGCTAGGATCATGAATGGAAGAAGCTGAAGAGCGCATCAGCACTGCTGAGGACAAGCTAGAGGTAATGGGGACGGAACTACAGAAACTGCGCAAAAACAACGAATACCTGATGAAAAAGGTCGACCATTTGGAAAACTACAGTAGGTGAAGCAACATTAGAATGATTGGCCTCCGCGAGGGCTGCGAGGGGACTGACCCCATTGATTTCTCTGCTGCCATTATCCCCTCCCTACTGGGCAAAGAACATTTAGCTAAACCCCTGGTTATCGAACGGGCACACAGGTCACTCGCCCCTCGCCAATCCCCTGATCAGAACCCACAACCCTTCCTCGTTCGGTTCCTGAGGTACCAGGAACTGAGCTAAAGTTCTCAGAACCGCAGCCAAACATATCAAGGAGAAAAGAGTAATCCTACACAACGGGGAGGCGATTAAATTCTTTCCAGACATGAGTCCCGGGATGGTCAAACGCAGGAAGGAATTCGACGAGGTGAAAAAAAGAACTTACCTCCAAGAACATTCCCTTTGCGCTGTTTCAAACTGCAACGATGAGAATCATCCATAGCGGACAGAGAATATTCTTTAAAACGCCCAAAGAAGTCGCAACTTTCCTCCGCAGACTGCAGGCGACCGGCTCAGGACATGGTTGATTGGCTAGCGGACCGGGTTAATTTCACTGTCCCTCTAGCCTGCCTTATTACTTGCATAACCAGTAGGACTGCTTTGCTGGATTATACTATAGCTTACTGACAGATCAATGAGGTATGATCCCAATATCCATGTAAACAAACTATTTGCCTCTTCATATAACACAAAGACACAGGGAGTAGCTATGTTGATTAATAGGAATTTACCCTTCTGTGTAATGAAAACAATTATTGATCCACTGGGACGTTATGTAGTGGTCCATGGCAGAATGTATTCTGAATCTTGGAACTTGCTTAACGTATACGCACCTAATTATGATTATCATATTTTTATTCGAGATATATTCCTCAAGGTAGCGGAATTTCAGGGAACACTCTTAGTTGGGGGCGACTAATTTTTGTCTGGATCCGATCCTGGATAGATCCTCAACTAAAGCAATTTCATTGACTAAGTCAGCCAAATGCACTCTATCATTTATGGAATAGTTAAATTTGAAATACACATGGAGACAGCACCACCCCCAAGATAGGGATTACTCAATCTACTCCTGCCCGCATAACTCTCATACCCGGATTGATTATTTTCTCCTATCAGCACAGGTAACCCATAGAGTTGTGGAAACGGAGTATTTATCCAGAACTATCTCAGATCATTCTCCCCTCACACTTTCTGATTGGATGCCGGATGGAGTTCAAGGGACCTATAGATGGTGCCTCAACCCAACTTTTTCGAAACAGGCAGAATTTTGTCAATTTATCAGAGACCAAATTAAGTTTTTCTGTGAAACAAACTGTCCTTCCTTTCCCAATACCTTTGTACTCTGGGATACATCGAAGTCCTTTTTTAGGGGTCAAATCATTTCCTATAACAAAGGTCTCAAAAAGAAATGCACTGCTGAATTGAATGAACTAGAGAATGACATCCTATTACTACAAAAAGAAAACCAAAATTCTGGCTCTAAAGAATAAAAAACTAAAATATAATACCCTAAGTACTTCCAAAACTGAACAGGCTTTTCTTAGAACTAGGCAAAGATATTATGAATTGGGGGAGAAAACACACAAAGTCTTGGAATTGCAGATAAAAGCTGAGGAGAATTTGAGAACCATCAACTCTATTGAAAGACAGAACGGTCAAGTGTTTCACAACCCGGAAGAGATTAATGATTCATTTAAAACAATACTATTCTAAGTTATACACTTCTGATGGAACGGAACCAGCAATGATAGACACATTTCTGTCTACTATTGAACTACCGCACCTCACATAGGAAGACCAAAATGAACTAGATCACCACCTTACAAAAACAGAAATCGAAAAGGCAATTTCCTCTCTACAATCCGGCAAATCACCAGGAGACGATCAAATCAAATTATATTGGTCACATGCGCCGAATACAACAGGTGCAGACATCACAGTGAAATGCTTACTTACAGCCCTTAACCAACAGTGCATAAAAATAAAACAACAACAAAAAAAGTGTTGAGAGAAAAAAGAGCAGAAGTAAAATAAAGTGACAGTAGGGAGGCTATATATATACAGGGGGGTACCGTTGCAGAGTCAATGTGCGGGGGCACCGGCTAGTTGACGATGGCTTTCCCCCAGAGTTTTATAAGGAGTTTAAGGATTTGCTTATTCCTCTCTTCCTTGTTCTAAATTTAGCTGCTGAGACGCAGAGCCTACCGGACTCCTTTTCCACGGCTATTATAACAGTTATAAGAGCCGTGAAAGATCCTCTACAATGCTCTTCCTATAGGCCGATCTCACTCCTCAATTCGGACTATAAATCGATTTCTAGGGCGATGGCTAATAGATTAGAACAATATTTGCCAAACCTGAATAACACAGATCAAACAGGCTTTATACAGAAAAGATCCTCCACCAATAATTTGCGCAGGTTATTCAACGTAATTCACATGGCCTGTGTGAGGAGCGATCCTAGTATAGCAGTATCTCTAGACGCTAAAAAGGCCTTTGATAGGCTGGAGTGGCCATACCTATTCAAGGTCCTTGCTAAATTTAACTTTGGTCCTTTGTTTGTCAACTGGGTTAAGACTTTTACCATAAACCGCAAGCTAAGATCACCACTAATGGCATGATGTCAGCCACATTCCCACTCTTTAGAGGTAGTACACAGGGCTGTTCACTTTCCCCACTCATTTTTACATTTACATTTTTAGTCATTTAGCAGACGCTCTTATCCAGAGCGACTTACAGGAGCAATTAGGGTTAAGTGCCTTGCTCAAGGGCACATCGACAGATTTTTCACCTAGTCGGCTCGGGGATTAGAACCAGCGACCTTTCGGTTACTGGCACAACGCTCTTACCCACTAAGCTACCTGCCGCCCCTCCATAGAACCACTGGAGGAGGCCATAAGAACGGATCCTGGCATAAAGGGCTTTCAGGTGGGCCAGATAACGCACAAGATCTTATTGTTCGCAAACTACAATATTTTGTTCCTCTCTGACCAGACCGGATCGCTCTCAAAACAACAGATGCTTTTGGGTACATACAGCTCTATATCAGGTTACAAAGTCAACATGGACAAAAGTGAAATACTTCCACTGACTCGCTTTGACTATAGCATCTGTGAACAAACAGGTCCCTTCAGATGGTCGCCACAGGGGTTCAAATATCTAGGAATCACAGTTGATAATGACTTAAGAAATGTAATCAAGCTTAACTACTCTGTCTTGGTTCAGAAGGTGGTGGATGACTTGAATAGATGGATAGATCTGCCTCTTACATTATTTGTGAGAATTAGCTGTATTAAGATCAACGTTCTGCCTAAGATGATGTACCTATTTCAATCTTTACCCAAGAGTTTCTTTAAGTCCCTTAACAAGATCATAAGACAATTTGTATGGAACAGTAAAACTCCAAGGGCGAGCCTGGACAAATTAACATGGGATTATATTCTAGGAGGTCTCCACCTACCAAATTTCAAGATGTATTACTGGGCAGCGCAAATTAGATTAATTTCATTCTTATTTGAAACTGAACCAGCTCCTTCTTGGACTCAGATGAAAATGTTTGCTCTTAATGAAGAGGTTGGGGGTAATATTATATACAAGTGGAACCCCAAGACTATATCAACAAAAAGAAGCATGAAATTCGTAAGTTATTTGGTCTGAGACGAGACTTGTCACCCAAAACACCCCTGTGGCAAAACAAGACTCCTGCCAATGTCAACATTGGAATGAGAAGGGAATAACACATTTACAACATTGTTATATAGATGGGGTACTTATGTCATTTGAGCAACTGAAAGAGAAATACCAGTTATCCAATAATAATTTATTTTGTTATTTACAGTTAAGAAACTTTCTCAGAAGCACTCTAGGAGATATGACTTTACCAAATCTATCAAGTATTGAACAACTACTCCATGATAATCATGACTCATATAGATATATATACAGAGTGTACTCATTGCTAACGCAACAATGCCCAAAACCAGATGTACAGTGGGGGAAAAAAGTATTTAGTCAGCCACCAATTGTGCAAGTTATCCCACTTAAAAAGATGAGAGAGGCCTGTAATTTTCATCATATGTACACGTCAACTATGACAGACAAAATGATTTTCAAAAATCCAGAAAATCACATTGTAGGATTTTTAATGAATTTATTTGCAAATTATGGTGGAAAATAAGTATTTGGTCAATAACAAAAGTTTCTCAATACTTTGTTATATACCCTTTGTTGGCAATGACACAGGTCAAACGTTTTCTGTAAGTCTTCACAAGGTTTTCACACACTGTTGCTGGTATTTTGGCCCATTCCTCCATGCAGATCTCCTCTAGAGCAGTGATGTTTTGGGGCTGTCGCTGGGCAACTCAGACTTTCAACTCCCTCCAAAGATTTTCTATGGGGTTGAGATCTGGAGACTGGCTAGGTCACTCCAGGACCTTGAAATGCTTCTTACGAAGCCACTCCTTCGTTGCCCGGGCGGTGTGTTTGGGATCATTGTCATGCTGAAAGACCCAGCCACGTTTCATCTTCAATGCCCTTGCTGATGGAAGGAGGTTTTCACTCAAAATCTCACAATACATGGCCCCAATCATTCTTTCCTTTACACGGATCAGTCGTCCTGGTCCCTTTGCAGAAAAACTGACCCAAAGCATGATGTTTCCACCCCCATGCTTCACAGTAGGTATGGTGTTCTTTGGATGCAACTCAGCATTCTTTGTCCTCCGAACACGACGAGTTGAGTTTTTACCAAAAAGTTATATTTTGGTTTCATCTGACCATATGACATTCTCCCAATCCTCTTCTGGATCATCCAAATGCACTCTAGCAAACTTCAGACTGGCCTGGACATGTACTGGCTTAAGCAGGGGGACACGTCTGGCACTGCAGGATTTGAGTCCCTGGCGGCGTAGTGTGTAACTGATGGTAGGCTTTGTTACTTTGGTCCCAGCTCTCTGCAGGTCATTCACTAGGTCCCCCTGTGTGGTTCTGGGATTTTTGCTCACCGTTCTTGTGATCATTTTTGACCCCACGGGGTGAGATCTTGCGTGGAGCCCAAGATTGAGGGAGATTATCAGTGGTCTTGTATGTCTTCCATTTCCTAATAATTGCTCCCACAGTTGATTTCTTCAAACCAAGCTGCTTACCTATTGCAGATTCAGTCTTCCCAGCCTGGTGCAGGTCTACAATTTTGTTTCTGGTGTCCTTTGACAGCTCTTTGGTCTTGGCCATAGTGGAGTTTGGAGTGTGACTGTTTGAGGTTGTGGACAGGTGTCTTTTATACTCATAACAAGTTCAAACAGGTGCCATTAATACAGGTAACGAGTGGAGGACAGAGGAGCCTCTTAAAGAAGAAGTTACAGGTCTGTGAGAGCCAGAAATCTTGCTTGTTTGTAGGTGACCAAATACTTATTTTCCACCATAATTTGCAAATAAATTCATAAAAAATCCTACAATGTGATTTTCTGGATTTTTTTTTCTCAATTTGTTTGTCATAGTTGACGTGTACCTATGATGAAAATTACAGGCCTCTCTCATCTTTTTAAGTGGGAGAACTTGCACAATTGGTGGCTGACTAAATACTTTTTTACCCCCACTGTACATCAGTCAAGAGAGCGATGGGAATCCGATTTGAATACTACAATTGATGAGGGGCTATGGTCGGACCTATGCCAAGATAGTGTGTCAGCGACCATCAACTCTAGATACAGACGGATACATTACAACTTCCTTCACCAACTCTATCTGACACAGAAATGTGTTTTAGATGTGGAACAACATAATGCACTTTTTTGTATTCTACTTGGCAGTGTACTAAATTAAAGCCTTCTGGCATGATGTTTGTGATACCCTGGCCTTTATTATGGAGGTCCCTTTCCCACTTGACCCTGAAATATGCCTTCTGTGTAACTTCACAAAATGTGAATTTGAGGAATAACTTCAACATCAAATGTACAGAAATTGCCCTTGCCACAGCAAGAAAATGTGTTGCATTGACATTGAAATCAGATTCCCCTTTCCCAATTACAAGATGGCTCTCTGAAATGAATAAGTGTATTCCTATGGAGAAGATTACCAATGCTTTAAGAAATAAATTCAACTACTAAATATGGCAACCCTTCCTGGACTATATGGAAACACTTCCATTGGGGTTGGTGGATGTGAGCTTGTAGATCGATGTAGCTATTGTCTCTCTGTAATGTACTGTTTGTATTCCTTTATGTATATGTTGGTATATCTTGTCGTTTGTCTTATTTAGTCATTATTAGTATTATTACTATTCTAATTTTTATTTTGTAATTTGTTATTGTTTTAATTATTTTTCTATTTTGGGGCTAAGAGGGTTGAATTACCTTTTGTTGTAGTACTTACTCTTGCTGTATTGAATTGTTCTGTTGTTGAATAACTGAAAAATAAAATATTTTAAAAAATACATGTATTTCCTATTAACAAGTCATTTACGGTTTCTATGCCTTTAGTTTTCATGTAGACAAATTTATCTGTGAATTCTGAAAAGCTATCCAAGGATTGTTCCATAGGGTTGTGTTTTTAGGGAGTGATATTGGTTCTTGTAGAATACGTTCCATTTTCTTCCATATGTTTTTAGTGTTCTTAACTATAAAGTTGTTAATGTTTTTAGCTTTATCCTTAGGAAATAGACACATAAAAATATTATGGGGATGAGCATGTGCATCTTCAATATGTACCCATTGTTCTTCTTTAGTGCATTTAACTACATGTCGCAAGTAAAAGCCCTGGGTGGGGAGTTGACACTCCGTTGGTTCCATTGTGCCAGGAATGCTCAATCAAGTGCAGCTAACGTACTGAAAATAAAACATACTGTGTGAACCCAGGTCAGGTCATGATGAACACCATAGTTTGTGTTTATGCCGAGTCACCCTGCATGACACCTGTACTGTACCACCTAACGCTGCCAGCTGCCATGGAAGCAGAACAGGAGGGGTCTCTGTCTCCATCTGTGCTTCCATCTATCCATCCGCAGGTGGGGATTCAGTGGCTAATGATGTGTGTGTGTGTGTGTGTGTGTGTGTGCACGCGTGTCTCTTCGCTGGCTAAGTGACAGTTTTAGGACCCACTCGACAGCAAAGAAAATAATCCCTCATCGCCGTTTGACCTTCCACTCTCCTGCCGATTCAAAACGTGTTTTAAACACAAATGCACACAAATTATTCATTCTGTTCCGACATGCCAGCAACACCTCAGCCCTGGGGCTCCTGACATTGTGCACAATCAAGACATTACACAAACACATGCCCTTCCATTGCCATTTGCGCTCTAGTGTCCAATTAAGGGCTGCATAAGTTTTAGCAGACGGCACACAGTGAGCAGCACCTCGTGAAGGTACAGTACTGCTGTGTGTGTTGACAGGAAGAGGCAGATCATTGTTGTGCATCTCAATGCCGTCTGTGCCACATCAGTCCATCCGTAAAGAAACACTTTCATCAGCGAGTAGCAAAGAGGTTCAATTCAACAATCAAACGCATGTGTGATCCTGAGCGAGCTTGAACCATACAGTGATATCAAGAAAGACAATTAAAGTGTGTGTGACTGAGTGCAAGCATAAGTGACTGTGAGTGCAAGCATCCGAGAGAGAGAGAGAGACAGACAGACAGACAGACAGACAGACAGACAGACAGACAGACAGACAGACAGACAGACAGACAGACAGACAGACAGACAGACAGACAGACAGAGAGAGAATAAGAAAATGAAACAACACAAATGGAGTGATAGATTACGATGGAGGAGAGGGTGGTAATAGCTGTAAGGTCCTTTAAAAACGTTCTTGATGGAATTGCTGAGGACTTAAAAAGCTGCTGTCATTAAGCAGCTATTAAAGATGCACTATGCAGCAATCGCTCCGTCATTTCCTGGTTGCTAAAATTATAATAGTTCGCTTAAATTTCAGTTTATGTGACAAAACAAGCAAGTATAGAGTAGAGAATCATTGTAGCATCTAAACCGCTGTAAAAAATATTGTATTTTCAACTGGTGTACAAAACTGAAAGTAAAAGACGCAAAAACAAACCTTAAGACTGGGAAGCATAGAAATAGCGTACATAGAACAGATCTACCCCTTCTTAGACTTGCTTTCAATGATAATGACAGATCTATAACACACATTTCTATGTGAATTTGGTTGGGTCGCCCAAAAAGTTACATATTTCAGCTTAAAGCAATTTGGTTACATTGGTCTCCCTTTCTGATGGTGATGGGCCTTTTTAAGAGTTGACTAACACGGAGAGGAGAGTGAATGGGTATTTCCTCTCACTTACCTTATTAGAGAAGCTCTACACTGACAGTGAGGATAGCTAGCATGAGAACTATAAACTGTAATAGCACCACATGGGTTCACGCATCCTACATTGTTCCAGTACGCTTAGTGTCAGGGGAGAAGGATGGCACGGTTGGTTCTGGCCCTGTCCCGTACCATCATTACTGCTTTAAAGTGTCAGAACAGGGCTTTTAGCTAGACTTTAATGAGGTCATCAAAGATAACTACAAGACATTATCACAGTTGAATGGCTTGCCCCTAATGTAATGTGATGAGGGAAGTTTATTTTACCCCGAGAGGCCATGACAACATCTTCTCAGGGACTTTTACTAAGTTGTGGTGTTGTTGTAGCATCCAGAAGTAATGCTTCACTCACCATGTGCTCCACGCGGAGTTCAAAGGGCATGGGGTTGTAGACCATCAACTGGACCTCACACACTTCTCCCTGGACCCACTGGAACTCTGAGGAGGTAGAACAATGCATCAGAGTAAATCTCAGACCAGGAGAAACTGATGCACATGGAACACACAGACAAATATGAGTTTAAGTATGTGGGCATGTGTGGCCTAGGTTGGTCTAGGTTGGTCTAGCAACCTAAGCCACAGTCTACGGCACACGTCTATGGTGTCAGCATACAGTATGTTTGAATCTGGCCTATTGACCTTTAACATAATATCTATCTTTCCCCACGGTCATCCTCTCTCTATCTATTCATTAAAGTCAGAAAATACTTACTTAAGCAATAAGGCCAGAGGAGGTGTGAGATATGGTCAATATACCACGGCTAAGGGCTGTTCTTATGCACGACGCAAGTGCCTGGACACAGCCCTTAGCCGTGGTATATTGGCTATATACCACAAACCCCCAAGGTGCCTTATTGCTATTATAAACTGGTTACCAACGTACTCAGAACAGTAAAAATAAATGTTTTGTCATACCCATGGTATACATTGTGATATACCACATCTGTCAGCCAATCAGCATTCAGGGCTCAAACCACCCAGTTTATAAAAATATATAATTATGGGTGTGAGTAATAATACGTGAATAGGATTCTGGGATGTGGAAATAATGTGGAACGATAAATATGGATTGTTAAGTCTACAGTTTTATTTTCAATATGCCAAACCATCCTTTTTGATTAAAATAATTACCCCATTGTGCCTCAAGCACAGACAAGTTAATAATTCAAGACTTTAGTAAAGCAAATAAACCACAAATAAATCCTCTTTTATTTATAGATTGTTTAGTTGGCTCTCTGCAAATATGTAAATTCCGTTTCGTATTCAATTAGCCCCTGCAGAAACAGTTGGCTTGAGGCAACTAAAAACCAATTCCATGAAAGTGTTGTCGGTGAGAGCTTCTCAGGAAGTTGTAAAGGATATGTTTCAGGGTTCAGCGTCAGTTCAGTTGACAGAACGAGAGGCAACCAAAGTTCATACTCTAATGACGACCGGATTATATTACTATTAGAAGACTTAGAGATGATTAAGCAAAGCAGGGGGGGCTGCATTGCTACTAGCGTTAGCGCAACGACAAGCTAGCTGTTCCCATAGACTTCCAGTCATTGAGCCAACGATTATCCATTTAAAAGCGTGTCTCGGCAGAAATATATTTAGGCAACAATTGAATATAGTGGAAACACTGATGTGCTACATGATTATTTGTATTGTATGCATTTGTATGGTTTTTAAATATCTTTCTATTCCTTACAAATGGCCAACATTAATCATTTTAGTCTCTAGCCAGTCCTTATCATGACCTCCTATGGTTCACACTAACATTGCACAGGATTGTGCTATTAGAAAGTACCTTGAAAAACGGTATAATGAGATACAAGATTCCGATTCAGCAGATCATGCACTAGCCTGTCAGGGGAGACAGAGTAGCACAGTGTCATTTGGCGATGGAGGAAGTTATCATATAAAGGGGATTCTGATACAGAGACTATAATGAAAGAGGTGGGAAACAGCTCTGTTACCAAAGACATTACAGTGTTCCATCTCCATTTTGACAGTCCAATCTGTAAATGCAGTAAACTGTCTCACTAGAGGGCCTGGCTGAGGCTAAGCCACGTACAAACAAACAAACAAACAAACAAACAAACAAACACACACACACACACACACACACACACACACACACACACACACACACACACACACACACACACACACACACACACACACACACACACACACACACACACACACACACACACACACACACACACACACACACACACACACACACACACACACACACACACACACCACACACACACACACTTCCATCTCCATTCTCTGAGCCCAGGACCTGGTGGGTTAACAGGATTTATGGAGAGTAAACTAAACTACCGGCATGCACCTTGGGAAATTAAAACTTTAGTCTGAAGCAGAAAGAAGGAGAAGAAGGGTGTCTATATAATATAAAATGGTCAAATGAGCCTCTCTCACAACCCCAGGTCTGCCTCTCAGGTGTCCTCCTCACAGAGCCAATTACATGTGAAATATGCCTCTGAAAGAGCTGAGGAGAGCTGCGGTACCACCTGCGGTGCCACCTTCTCATTAGTGTGTCCCAAATGGCACCCTATTTCCTTTACATTGCACTTCTTCCCTACTCCCTGGTCAAAAGTAGTGCAATATAATAAGGTGCCATTTGGGACACACCCTAGCCTCCCTCCGTACCTAGAGGCTCCTGGCCATTCATTCATTCCAGATTAAAGAGGGAGCAGGAAGGTGCAGCACTTCAGAACCTCAGGGTGAATATTAATCATGCTGCTAGCCTGAGTACCAGTCTCATTAGCTAACAATCCACTCCTTGTCATTGTCAAAGAGGATGGAGCGAACAGAACAGAGGAGGCACTGCAGATATTGTGTTGGATCTACTGCATGCCGACCTAAGGCACACACACACCACTCTCAGTAATATGCTGTGTTGAATAATGCATCCACACGATGGCCGGCTGGCCTGGGCAATGGAGCATAAAACATGTGTGTGAAATAGAGAAAGCCTGTAGTAGGACACTGATATATTCAAACAGAAACATACCACCATTTATAAAGTGTGTGTGTGTGTGTGTGTGTGTGTGTGTGTGTGTGTGTGTGTGTGTGTAACACAGGAGGGAATAACTACACTAACTGGAAGCATGTTACTGCCTGTTCTGTCTCTTTAATATCAAACATCTCTGGAAATAAGATTCCAGTACAACAACTCACACTCTACTAAGACTTCATTGCTTTTCATTCACACTATCAAAGCTTCAGCACTTGCTGAACAAGCTGGCTGGGTATGTTGAGGCCAGGGTTGGGGTCAGTGCCATTACAATTCAGTCAATTCAGAAAGAAAGACTGAACGTTTGACTCTTTTTCTGTTTGCTCGTCTATTTGTGAAAAGCAAGGTAGTAAAACTACTACTAGAGTATTGATTAACAAAGCGCTGATGAATCAGTGTGTAAACTGTTAGCCGGTCGTGTTTAGGACTACAGCAGAACAGAGGATTGAGAGGATGGATCCATATGCACACACACACACACAGGCACGCATGCACACACACAGGCACACACACACGCAGGAAGGCACGCACACACACACACAGGCACACACACACACAATAGCCATTAGGAACAACGTTATTGCTGGGTCATGCTGAGAAAGGAGGCACAGTGCAATACAAAGGACAAACACACACACACACACACACTCACACACACAGACAGACACACAGTGGGTCAATGGTTAGCAGGGGGCAAACAAACACTGACAGTTGCCTGCATTCTGACAAAGTCTAACCGCCCGCACACACACAAAATAAATGTTCACAGTCGATCCACCTCCTTATGACCACATTCATAAAGTGATGGATAACAGTGAGTGAATCTGGCACGCTATGGATGTAATGTTGTATCTATCATTGCCTGCTATGGGTGTACTGTATCTGAATACCAGCCTGTTATGGACGTCCCAGCAGCCAATCCATTCATCAAGCAGACAGCATCAGCCAATCACCAGAGACACAGCCAGAGGATCCATTATCAACGCTGATGTAGGCTGACTCATCATTCCTCTTTCAGTTTCTTGGTGAAACTAAATCAAACACTGTCTCGTCAAACCTTCAGTAAGAGTCTGTAGATTAGTGGGTAAGAGCGTTGGCGGCAGGTAGCTTAGTGGGTAAGAGCGTTGTGCCAGTAACCGAAAGGTCGCTGGTTCTAATCCCCGAGCCGACTAGGTGAAAAATCTGTCGATGTGCCATTAAGCAAGGCACTTAACCCTAATTGCTCGTGTAAGTCGCTCTGGATAAGAGTGTCTGCTAAATGACTAAAATCTAAATGTAAATAATTACTAGTAGAGTAAGCCTGTTGGTGTAGTTTGAAGAGAGACAATTTTTTGGTAGTGGAAGGCAACCCCGGGTTCAAATACTATTAGGGAAAAAAATGTACAATGCCTTGCAAAAGTATTCAACCCCCCTTGGTGTTTTTCCTATTTTGTTGCATTACAACCTGTAATTTAAATTGATTTTTATTTGGATTTCATGTAATGGACATACACAAATAGTCCAAATTGGTGAAGTGAAATGAAAAAAATAACTTGTTTCAAGAAATTCTAAAAAATAAATAACGGAAAAGTGGTGCGTGCATATGTATTTACCCCCTTTGCTATGAAGCCCCTAAATAATGTGCAACCAATTACATTTACATTTTACATTTTAGTCATTTAGCAGACACTATTATCCAGAGCGACTTACAGTTAGTGAGTGCATACATTTTCATACATACAGTGAGGGAAAAAAGTATTTGATCCCCTGCTGATTTTGTACGTTTGCCCACTGACAAAGAAATGATCAGTCTATAATTTTAATGGTAGGTTTATTTGAACAGTGAGAGACAGAATAACAACAACAAAATCCAGAAAAACGCATGTCAAAAATGTTATAAATTGATTTGCATTTTAATGAGGGAAATAAGTATTTGACCCCCTCTCAATCAGAAAGATTTCTGGCTCCCAAGTGTCTTTTATACAGGTATTGAGCTGAGATTAGGAGCACACTCTTAAAGGGAGTGCTCCTAATCTCACCTTGTTACCTGTATAAAAGACACCTGTCTACAGAAGCAATCAATCAATCAGATTCCAAACTCTCCACCATGGCGAAGACCAAAGAGCTCTCCAAGGATGTCAGGGACAAGATTGTAGACCTACACAAGGCTGGAATGGGCTATAAGACCATTGCGAAGCAGCTTGGTGAGAAGGTGAAAACAGTTGGTGCGATTATTCGCAAATGGAAGAAACTAAATAACTGTCAATCTCCTTCGTCCTGGGGCTCCATGCAAGATCTCACCTTGTGGAGTTGCAATGATCATGAGAACGGTGAGGAATCAGCCCAGAACTACACGGGAGGATCTTGTCAATGATCTCAAGGCTGCTGGGACCATAGACACCAAGAAAACAATTGGTAACACACTA